TACCAATCGTCGTCGCTTGACCGCTCCAACGATGGAGAACGGGCTGAATTGGCTTGAAACGCACCTCCCTCCTTCCCCTGCGATACGCCTGCAGCGGGAATTGCTGTGCATTCTATAGAAAACACGGCACTTTGGAGATGATTGAAAACACTATTTGACATGCTTGCCGGGTTTTTCGCGAGATATAATTACAATTGCCCCAAAATTTAAATATCTCACCAAAAGCGCAGTCGCAACCACGCTCAAATGAAGTATGTAGCACTCCTCCCGCAGCTCAGGGAATCGCATGATGGCGAAAATCTAGCGATACGATGTGGAGGTTATAAAGAAAGGAAGACAAGGGTTTGAGAGCGAGATCTTTCTTTGATTCACTCAAACGCTTGAGGGAAGGAACAGATGAGAGGGTACACGGTAAGGCTTGTCATTTCCGAAGAGTTAGTGTTACGAGAGTGCAGTAGATAGCGAGGGCGCAGTTTGTCGACGGGGGGCATTTTGCACTTTCGTTGCTTCACTAGTTCTGGTTTACAAGTCTCACTCTGGTGAAACCTGTGAACTCTTGTGAAGCTGGAGCAAGCTCGTCAAGCCATCATGGTAAAACCTGTCAACTCGAGAAGAGGCTGTCTAGATGGGTCGACACGTCGATGGGAAGTCGTTGAAGTGCAAAATGCCCCCCCCCCGTCGCCAAACAGCGCCGATAGCGAGGTAGCGAGGAATGCCACTGAAGAGCCCATGCCTGAACTTCTTAGGTTGTTAAAGTAGAATGAGCTACTTGACATCTCGGCTATTGAGACGGGATAGTGTCATTCACACTTCTAATGCACTTGGAATAACAGGATTCTCTACTGCATGGTTACTTTTTTCTAAGTTCCTACACCCTCATTTGCTCTGTTGTAGTAACTGCCTGCCGAGGTGGAGGTGGTGTAGTGGCTATTGGCACGCTCACCACACACACAGTCCAGGGCTTAAATCACTAACTGGCTCCAGCCCAGACCAACCCAACATTCTGTCCACTGGAGGCGGTAAATTGGTACCAGATTTGCCTAGGAGGATAAGAACACTGACGGTACATCGGCTGGCCACCGCAAGTCATTGTATAGGCCACATCGCATTCAATAAGCCACTACGATTCTGAATGGAAGTAGAATGCGTGCCGCATCCCACAAAGGGATTGATCAACGGCGAAAACTTTATCCTTTATCCTTTATTGTGTAACTGCCGTTCAGCGCTACGGTTCGCGATGTATCCTGGTATAATCCTAAGAACTGTGACTTGTGGTAAC